AAAAAAAAAAATTACTTTTAAACATTTTTAGAATCTTAAAAGAAAAATCATACCCATGCTTGCTTTAACAGGCCCTTCTTGTATACAAAACTTCAAACTGGAAAAGTGATTCGTTAGGTAGTGATTCTTCACCTCATAAGAGAATTCACCAGAGAGTTGACTGAAGTAGCCAGGCCCTTGATGCACTTAAAAGTCTCAAAATTTTCATGCACATGCAATTTTCCAGAAAGCTATCTAACCTAGTTCTGCATAAAACGAGGTGCTCCTGTATCATCCTCCTCTTTCCCAGTGGCCTGAGGATAGGCCGGAGCGGGCTGCTTACCTGATTGTGCCGGTTGGGGAAGGGATGGGGCTGACCATGCTCCGGAGATCCGGCTCCGGAATGTGGATCTTTAGAGGGGAGATCTGTGGGTAGAGTGGCCGCAGGGGAGATGCCGGAGCCTCTTCTTTAAGGTACAGCGATGTGAACTGGATCTTTATGGCCGTGCTGGGAAATCGGAAAGTACACCTGCAACGGAGGGAGAGCAGTGTATCAGGCTCAGGAGGAACCTGAAGAGGGAGGAAGCCCGAGTCCAGTAAAGGCATGTTCCTAGTCATCTCAACAACTGCAACTTGAACAACTCTCATGGTCACTCTGTGGTTCACATCTGTGCTCAAATAGCATTTTTATGCTTTCATTAGGACACTTACAAATTTTTTTTTTTTTTTTTTTTTGCAGCTGGCCAGTAAGGGGATCCGAACCCTTGACCTTGGTGTTACAAGGCTGTGCTCTAACCAACTGAGTTAGTTGGCCAGCCCTATGAACACAAATTTAGGCTTATTCTAACATCAGTTGTCCTTTCACTGTGCATGCGAACAGCAGAGATAAAAATATCCCCAGACAAATACCAATGATGCCACCTCCTACAAGGTTCCAGACAGACAGAGCTGCTTCCTGTCTACGACGGCAGCTGCTATCAGACCCAGGTGGGGCTCACTACCTCACAAAGAACGCTCGTTGGAAAGCTGAAGGAACATGGTTGCCATTTATGCAGAGATTTTAAAGACAGATGCCCTTATGCTGCTGAGAAGATATAAAGCAAATGTTGCGTGGCGAAAGTAGCAATACTCCCCATAAACGTGCTGGTAGGAGCCAGAGAGAGGAAGCCTTATGAACTCAGAGTTTAATGGACTGGTTTCACAATTAGTTCTGGCCTTAAAACCCACAAGCCATGGTTGATCTACTGGAGATGACCACATGCAAACAAACCCCATACTGGCAGCAGCAGAAGGTAGCCTCAAATATCAAAGTCAACACCAACGTGCTTAGATGAACAGGGGAGACATGTCTGAGGGTCATCTATCTCTGAAAGACTTTTACCTATAACCCTGGGCATTATTTATCCAGCATACCTTCTAATTTCTAAACTGACAAGTTACCAACCAACAAGTTGCTAACTGCATAACTTAGTTAAACAAAACAAAACAAAAACAAACTAAAGCAGGCTGCCCACACGGAGACAAGCACTACTGGCTACCTGTAACTACTGTTTAGAAAAGGCTCTTTGTAGAAGAGGGTGTATAAGAATGAATATATATAAGTACCCCCTATAATTCACTTCTGATGGTTTCAGAAAGGCATTCAGATCATGCTAAGTGATTCAGCATGTGAAGGCCTGTGAGGCCTTTTGTAGTATAACTTCTATGAAGCCTCCCCAGGTAGCATACTGCTTGGTCTACTCCTGACAGTATTTTAAATTCCATAGCAATGTTTAAATAGTAAATCTGCCTCAAATCTTGCATGGACATGAGCAAACATCCTTTTCATTTTAAGACCCTTTTGCTCTTAATAAAATAAATTTTTAAGAACAGGATTTATGAATAGGTCAAAATATGTTCTGCAATCGTGAAAGGTCATGGCAGCACTGGGTCCCTTTGAGCCTTCTACTTGGGGAGACACGCTTCCTAGGGACCCACTTCTAAGGAAGTGAGTCAGCATTACACGCGTTGCTCTTTCCCAGATCTACTCTAAAAGCCAAGCTACCCACACCTGATAGAGAAAATTGTAATTTAATATGGCTTGACTGGGCCAGTTCTGTTTCTTATAGAGACACTGTGCAGGGAGGCTGCTGGACATCACCAGAAGGCAAACTCTGCAGTGAAACAAGCACTGGGCTGCTGCCGTAGCACGTTTATATTTCCAATAGTAAAATCAGAAAAAGGGGATTTTAATAATGTTTGCAGGGATGAGAGGCATTCTGGGAGATATAGCCTAGATACCGAAATGTTAGGGATGAGGGTGGGTGGTCTGTAAGGTGTAGTCAACATCACCCCTATGGTTTCCCTTAAAGGGAGACCCAAGGCTATTTGAAATATTCTGCAGTGTTCTCTTCCTAAGTTATACTTAAAGGAACATTTGATGTCATTTCCTCTTTAATTGCCCCACAACCCAATGGAAATTTCCTCCATCAGTATTTTGGCTAGAAAGGTACATCACTCATTGTTCTGAGACACTTTTCTGAAGGTTATGGGCTCAGTCCTGGAGGTCTGTCAGCTTTTGTGAGTCACAGAGCCAGCATCCACCCAAGCTCAAGTGTCTGAGGTTGGGTTGGGAATCTAGTGAGGGCTCCAGACAGTTAAGCTGAGCTGGGCTAAGGTGAGCTCCAACTGTGAACAGAGAGTGTGTGGCGTGTGCACACATGCACACACATGCCCCTGTTCTACCGTTGTTAGACAAGAAGGCGATAACAATAACAAATATTTAGAGACAGTTTCTGTGTCCCTTTACCATTTATTTATCTCTTTTCCCCAATTCCCTCAACTGCTGCAAATAACAAGCTACATTTTACTGTTTGCCAGAGGGCATACAGAGTTTTGATTTTCTGTGTTGTGAAAGCCCCTATGTTAATATGAGCTCACATCACACGAGAATTATCAAGGCCAACCAGAAGGAGGATGTGGCTTCTGGCCCATGACTGAGGTCACAAGCAGATGGGGATCTGAGACGGCACTTCCATGTGAAGACAAGAGGAGGCACGTGGTCCCCACAGAGGAGCTCTGGACTGAGGATCTGAAAACCAGGTTCGAGCCAGGGCCGATTTGACCTTGTGCCAGGTCACTCCCCGGTTGCAGAGGGTATAAAGGCCTTTCCAGACTGCGCCCCCTCCACTTCCTGGCTTGACTTTTCCTGGCCTTCCAGTCAGTGCACAAATGAGACGTGAGGTGTGGGGACAGGCTGTGCAGGTGAATACCACCGAAGAAAAAATGAGTTTATTACCACTTGACCTAAGCTCTGTGCGTTTCTGTTTTCTTCAATAACTAAACAAGATGGTTTGAATAGAAGAGATCATCTCTAGGGTGCTTTCCAGTTCAAAAAAACTACGATTTCTGGACAATATGTGCATATAGATTGAGTTTTTAGTAAAATGAAACAAGGTTTTGTAGGACAGTCAGGGATTTTGGTACATCATTAGTAGCAAAAAACTAGTACCATGTATAATGATTTCCTACTATAACAGTAATTTTCCAATTAAAGCTCAACAATAAACATTTTCATATTAGTTGCTGTAACAGCTATTTTAAAAGCATCTCCTGACTCACTTTTCCAAAAATTATCCTGAGGCAGGCTACCTCCTGACTAGGAGAAGGAGAGAAAATACCATGAAGCACGGTACTTAATTTTAAATAGATGTCTCCCCAGGGAGCTCTCAGAGTTTGCCAATTACATCTCTCCCTGTGATATTTTCATTCAGGTTTAGGGCCCTAGCTAGAGTTTTAATGAGCATGTGAGCATGTTTTGCAATTAAAGTATTTTCTTGGAGGTGCTGCATATTCAGTCCTAAACCCAAGCACACATACTGCCCACCTTTACTGTCGAAAATCCCCTCTAAGGTAAGTGTGTTTGCAAGGTAGAAAGAGGAAGGTTCGTGTACAAGCAAACACCCACCCTTGGAGGAAGTCTCTTTAAAACATTCTTGCCCAATTTATAAAGACAGAAAGTAGATTTGTGGTTGTCTAGGGCTGGGGTGGATTGGGAGAACAAAGAGTGACTGTTAATGGGTACACAGTTTCTTTTGGGGGTGACACAATGTTCTAAGATTGACTGTGATGGTGATGGTTGCACAACTTTCTTAATACACTAAAGATCACTGAATTGAACTATTTAAATGGGTTAGTTGTATGCTATGTGAATTATACCTCAATCGAGCTGTTTCTAAAAAAGGTTCTTGCCCCAAAGCTCCCACACTGAGGGTCTACTTCAGTCCTGGATATTTTTCCAGGTCCATCCGTAAGCTAAAGGCTCCTGGAACTTGGGCCAAACTGGTAACGACTTGGTTGGAGATGAGATTGCCTTATTCAGCATCAGATCAAAGATCACTGCACAGAAGGCTGGTTCTAGCCCCTGCTTGAATTAATGAGCCTAAGTGACTTGGTGCATGTCCCTTCCCTTCATTTCAATTTTGTCCTTAGACTAGGAATCCCACCACCTCCCTACCCAACAGAAGGTTATCAGGAAAATAAAAATGGCCCATTTAATTGTTGCCAATATACATTTTAGACACAAAGAATCAGAGAGAAGAAAGTACATTTGAAAGCTTCCAGATATTTTTTCAATTAATGCAATAGATTACTCCTCCACAGAGCTGTCCTGATTGCAGCCCCGCCCTCCTCCCACTCCCCTCCAACACTCCCCTCATCCTCTATCCCAACAGAGAGACAAGTTTACTTTTTGGAGAGGGTGAACCACATAAGTCTGAATCGGGAGATTCTAACACAAAGAGCAGCAGGAAAAAATTCCATACTAAAAATAGACTCAAGACCCCCCGTCCCCCACAAGCTTCCCCAAGCCCAGACCAGCCCAGCTGCCAGCAAATGACAGCCCAGGAAAGAAGACTGCAGATCTGGCATCCATGGGTTTCCCATGAAGCCCACCAGGCAAGGAACCCTGTCCGCTGACACCACACACCCAGCAGCCAGGGAGCCTGACCTCGCTCATCAGTGTGAACAACCGACACAGAATAGATGTTTGGGGAGTGTCTCCCACAAGGAAGACAGGGACCAAGCAAACACGTGTGAGAGGGGTGCTCAAAGGAACCAGACAATCCAAGATTAGAAGAAAACACAGACCACTTGTATCCTCTGAAGAGGAGCCTGGGCACCACATCTGCCAACCACAAACACTGCACAAGAAGGCATGTCCTGGGAAAAATGAGAAACCTTGGACAATTACTAAAATGATACAGAAAACAAAACTTCATAAGGAAAGTTGGGTGACAGCCTTGAAAACATCTCCCAGCAAAGACAAAGAAAATAAAAGGAAACTTTAGAGACTCCATCCAGGAGGTTTAATATTTGAATGAGAGTTATTCTACAAAGGACGTGCCTTCTCAGGAAGATACTGGGGAATATACTTTGCTGTCTTCTAACTTCTGCAGAATCATGTCTGCCAGATGCAGATGGTGCCGTCACCAAGTTTGAAACACAGGGCACTGCCCAGTGGTCAGGAGGTGAGGAAACCAATGTGGCAAG